AAACATATTGTACAAAACTGTACCCAAAAAAGACAGGTTTTAGGATGGAAGTCCAAACTGTCGTTAAACAGGTCAATTATTAAATGAGGAGTATCTGTATTTTATCTCTTGGGCATAAACCAAACTGTATTTGAAAAACTAAGCAGCTCTGAAGAAAGCCTGAAAATGGCCTGCCTTCCTGGGGAACATTTATCCCCACACAGAGGGGGATAGAGCAAAAGGGATAAAGGGACGGTATACGTTTGTAATAGTTGAGGTATTTAGTCCTCTTCAAAATAACACACCCTCCCAAACCATGGCTGAGGTACAGCCGTGTGTATCAACAGCACAAACACTCTGTTGGGTCCAGATGTAAAATGTAATCAAGGTGGCCAGTGCCTGGCACATGAGGGCTGCTGAGAAGGGTCAGGATAGCACAGCAGCTCAGTGGGCCAGGCTCGTTTCTTACAGGGATGCATCAAAAATTACAGTTGGTTTTAAACAATCCGTCTTCCAAGAATTCCAAGGCTTAGTCCAAGAGCTATTTGACAAGGCATTTTTAAGACTGGTTTTATTCTAAGATAACCAATTCTTACAAATATTTAAACAACATCGACACTCTTCTCTAGGACTTCTGACAAGGTCAAATATTTGCCCTCTGCTGTGACATGTTTCTGTGCCAACAGCGTCAGTTCAGAACCCTTACACTGCATTTTCTGCCTCATGACTTCAGAGAGTCATTAGCACTCTGCTATTTCTTTCCAAATTCTAATATGTTTTGTGGAGCGAACACACTCTTTTTCATAAACTCTGACAAATGGAAAAATAATGTGGACAGAATAACAGTTTCTATTTTGCTCAGACTTCCAGAAACTTCCAAACTAAATTAAATCTTCAGTGTCAACAAATTATTAGAATTTTGCTTCCTCTATTTTTTGAGTATATGATTCTGGCTTTATATCTATGTTTAGAGGTTTACTTTATCATTATCTCTTTGAGGCACATCTTAGATCTTTTTCCTGAATTCCAAAATCCAAATATCCAACTGTCTACTTTGAGTCTCTGCCTGAATATCCACAATACCTCAGGCTCAAACCAACCTTCAATATCATGCTTCTGTCCTTCCTTAACAGTGTACAAATCATTTTGCATATCTGTCTTTTTTTCTTTTTTTTTTTGTTTTTTTGTTTTTTTGTTTTTTTCCGGTATTGGAAAACAAACTCACAACATTGTGCTTGCCAGGCAGGTGCTGTGCCACTGAGGTAAATCCCCAGACCTTGCATATCTGTCTTGTTGAACATCACCTCCCTTGGGGTTGGGGATTTAGCTCAGCAGCCAAGCGTCTGCCTGGCAAGCACAAGGTCGTGAGTTTGATTCCTGGTACCAGAAGAAAAACAAAACAAAACATCACCTCCCTATGCCACAAATTTGAGAGAACATCAGATGATTTCTGCTCTTTAACTATTCATGTTTGATCCATTCTGTTGACCTTGACTATTTCCCAAATCATTTTGCCATAATCCACATACTGAATCTACTTGCTTCATGTCTTGCTGGATTACTGCAACATCCCTGGATGTTTCTCTTCCTCTGATTCATTCTTTTGAAAAAAAATAATAAAATTAACACAGTTGTCTCAGTCTGTTCCTGCTGCTATAACAAAATACCTTAGACCAGGAAACATCAGAAATGTATTAACTGATCAGAAATTTATTGCTCATGGTTCTGGAGACCAGAAGTCTAAGATCAAAGTGCCTATAGACTTGGTGTCTGCTGAGGGTTGGTCTCTGCCTCCAAGATGGAGCTTTGTTGCTGTGTCCTTACATGGTAGCAGGGGTGAAGAGGAAAAGGCACAAATATACTCCTGTAAGTTTTTTTTATAAGGACACTAATCACATTCCAAAGCTTCCATCTCTTAGTAAGTTCATCTTGGCATTTAGGGTCCCTTTTGTGAATTTTGGACAGACATATATATTCCAGCCATAGCATCAGTGACAGTACTCGGTATAAAATCCTTTGCAGGCTTATTCTAGTGGTAAGAATAGATTAGGTCCCCTCCACATGGTACACATGGGCGTCTCCCATGGTGACCTCATCCCCCCACAAATCCATAGCCTCACAAAGTGACGGTGGTCCCCATGTTCATAACCTTGGCAAGTGGAAATCAATCTGAAATATTGCAGTCCCTGAGCTTCTTTCTTCTGGCTCAGTGGCACTACTGTCAAATATATAATATATACATATATATTGTCTTTTTTGAGACAGGGGCTTGTTATGCAGTTTAGGCTGTCCTTGAGCTTACCTTGTAGCCCAGGTTGGCCTCAAACATACAACGATTCTCCTGCCTCAGCCTCCCAAGTGCTGGGATTTCAGGTGTGTGCCACCATGCCCAGCATCACCATCAAATGTTGCAACAACTCTCACTTAACCAGAAATAACCATTGTCTTCCCAAAATAAATTGTCAAAAGAAAAATAAACCACAGGCTTTTGAACTTGATGTTTTTTCCTTACATGGTATCTAGAAACCCAATTCACCTGGATACCAGCTGGTCATTCTTTGAGACTCAGCTCTGGGATCACTTCTTCCTTGGAGCTGGTTTTGCTTTCTTTCTTTTTGTCTCCCTGAGACTTATGGAGCTGTCTTGCCCATATGCCTCCAGTGCATCTTATCCCTCATTCTACTATATCCTGCCACACTGTGTTATGGTGCGTTACATTTTCTGTGCCTACCACCGCCACTATCACTAAATTTTAGATTCTTTGAAAGTAAAACTGGTTTATAACAATTCTGTCACCAGAATTTAGAACAGTAGCTATAACACAGATGAATTTAAGAAAGTTTGTCTAGGAAATGAACTAATGAGAGCCTTCCTGGAAATGTATGAGTTATAACAGATGAATTTAAAATAATAGCCTTTAAAATATAAGGCCATACCTAGTATAGCAGATAATAATTACTACTAATTACTTGATTGTGAAGTCCTTTGTGCCTATGAATATTCATACAACACTTATTATATGCTCCCTACCTATGTAAATACACATAATTAATTGAACTTTGCCAAATGTTTTACATAACAAAGCCTTAGGATGTACTCAGCCACAAGCCACAAAAGCACATTACCTGCTTCTAAAATGCTTGTCTCTAGATACAAAATAAGACTCTTTTACACATGGTGAAACTAAGACACAGAGAGAATAACTTTTCCAAGGTTGCTCAGTGGTAAGATCAAGATGCACATGTGGGAGCTCTGACTCCAGATTCACAGCACTTTCCACGTCTACTAACTGTGAAGGTTTGAGGGAAAACCTAGAAGTTATCTCATAACGTTATCTCAGGAAAGCCCGAGGAGGCCAGAGCAGAGACAGAAAAACTCATGGGAGAGCTAGGATGGAGCTGGCCTGAAAGCACAGGCGGTCCACGAAGAATAAGAGAAATGAGTTTCAGAGTAGGAAATGCCACAAATAAGACACATGCTTTGACGAGTCATAGCATTAAAAAAGTAAAAGGAACAGAAATACTGAGGGACAGCAACTGTGTAAATAGGCGTATTGTACTTTTTGCCAAGGTTTTTTCTTCTAAATTCTGTTTTTTATTAATTTTTCTACATTGTGATCATGTTGCATATACAATATAGAGGCCAACTTTTTCTTGAGACAGGGTCTGGTCTCACTTGGTAGTGCAAGGTGGCTTTGAACTCAAGCCACTTGAACTTAGCCCAGGCTTGCTTTGAACTCTCAGTGATCCTCCTGCCTCAGCCTCTTGGAGTGCTGGGATTATAGGTGTGCGCCACCATGCCTGGCTGAATCCCACTTTTTTTTAAAAGCTGTATACTAATAAATATTGCTTGTTATTATAACTATGTATAAGCATTATTTTAATGATCCCATGATTATTAAACAGATGTATGGTAGTTGGAGTATTTTCCTGTTGAATACTTAGTCATATAAAATCTTTTGAATTAGAAATAATTCTAGAAAGAACATGTTTTTCTACTAAACTTTTCATATTTACTGTCACTTCCTTAAGATAAAACTGCAAAGGTAGAATTCCTAGGTCTAATGTTACTAATTTATTTTTAAATCCTGCCCTGAGAAGTAAATTAATAATTTCTGGAACTAGGACCTCACTGGTAAGGAAGCTGAGACCTCTGTCCTCAGGAGTTTACTTTCTAAAGGAAAATGAATTAGTAAGGATAGACAAGTAGTAAGCAGGAGAACTGCTTTAATTGAAAGGGAAACAAACAAAATCTGGGGACATCAGTGAAGAGAATGACAGTCTTGCTAGGGAGAGCAAGGGAATACCCCACGCAGGAGGTGACTTCTGAGATGGGTTTGTTAGATTAATTTTGGACTGATAATTTATTTTGTGAAGAGAGCAGTTGCGCCTGATCAGGTCAGTGCTGTGGTAAAGGTGTCACTACTCACCTGGAGGGAGAAGGCTGAGAGGATAGTTGTAAAGATGCACTTCACTTCACCACTGGTAACTTGATCATTCTGGGGAGTTCACGAGTTGCCTAACTGCAGTTTGAGGAAGGATAGCACTTTGCTGGCCTTGCTCATGCTGAGATACGAAAGAAACCATTTCCATTTTGGAAGATCCAGCAGCAGCACTGGTTTTATTTTCCATCACTGGAAGGACATGCATGAGCCTAGGTACTTTCTAAAGAAAAGAGATTTACCTAGCTTTCTATCTGGGGTTCAGAGACAAGGCATTGGGTGCTGGGGAGTGTGTCATGGTGGAAGTTTGTGAGGGAGGGAGGTTGTGGGATGAGACAGGCAGTGAGAGGGAGGAGGGACCAGACTTGCTCTTTTTATAATGACCCTCTCAGGGACATTGACTTGGAGTCCCAGAGAACCACCTTCCAATGGTGATGCCCCCATGACATAATAAGAGAGTCAAAGGAGATACCCAATGGTTCCACTTATTAAGCATTTAGCTATATATATAGTAAGTAGTAAGGTCTTAAGTGCATAATAGCCACTTGAAAAAAGAATGCACATTACTTAAAGGCAAAGAAATTGTATTTTATTCTTAAATAACCGCGATTACATAGCCATCCATTAGTGTGTGCTTGTACAGAGCCTTCCCAACCTTGTGATCTCAACAAGCAGGGCCACCTCTGTGTCCTGCTGTTTGTCAGAGGAATAACCAGGCACTACTGCATGATGTGATGCTGCATCGCTGGTAGGGATGGGAAACAGGAAACAGTACAGACGTCCCTCAGAATCTCCATGTGATCCAGCAATTCCAGTTTGGATAGATACCTAAAAGAAATAAAACCAGGGACTCAAACGTGTGCATCAGCTTTCACAGCACCATTGTTTGTAATAGCCTAAAGGTGGGAGCCACGCAAGTATCTATTGACCATTAGGTGGATAAAAGAGATATGGCATATGTTTGTGTGTACATGCACATATGTTGTGCATACTACAACATATGGGTAACCTTGAAAACCCTATGCTATGTGAAACAAATTGGTCACTTAATCTTGATATTGCAGTAAGGGAAAAATACTGTATGCTTCCACTTTGCACAAAAGTATAAATGTAATTAATGCCATCGACCTATTGAAACAATTAAAATAGTAAATTTTGTTAGGTGTATTTACCGGAGTTAAGAGCACAATGACATGGAATGGAGTGTCTGGGGTCTGACAGTTGTTGCATGTCACCATTCTTCCTGCAGGTATTTGAAATGTCTAGTGGAACTCCTGTGAGTTGCTGCAGGGTCTAGGTTATCCTGGATCTAGTTTGGGGACTTCCAGGCCATGCTGTCGATCATAAGCTTATTCTTTTCACTTATTGACGGTTATGGGCAAAAAGGCCTGGCTGAGGCACTGTGCCTAACGGCTTTGGGACCTGGGAGAGTCACTGGACCTCCCTCGTGCTCAGCTTCTTTTCTCAACAAAGATAAAGGTACCGTCTGCCCCCTGTGCAGACTCTAACCCACCAAATAAAAGCTACTGTCATGTCCTACACACCACTCAAAGGACTCAGAAATGGCAGGCTTTCCACGTGCCTCAATTAAAGCCCTCAAAATGGAAAGTTAGATCCGGAGCCCTGCAGCCCCTGCTCATTGCCCTCGGTGCCCTTCTTTCCTCCCCGAACTTCTGTATTCCTAACCACCCTATCTTCCCTCCAAGGTCTTTCCCTCACTGTACCTTCTGCCTGGAAAATTTTCCTCTACTCTACCGGCTTTACCTACAGTGACCATTTCCTGCTTATCCTTTCATTTCCTGTCTGCCATGGCACCCAGTTGAGAAACATTCTCTGATGGCCCAGGTAGCCAACTAGAATTTCTACTTTGTGGTTCTTGTTTCTTGGCTTCCTCACCTGGTTGCAAGCAGCTGGAGGACAGGCACTGTGTTCCCATTGCCTGACACAGCTCCTGGGACATAATATCTATTCAGTAAGCACGGGTAGCTTCCTTGAAGGGAAGGGTCAGCACTGGCACACCCGAAGCTGGCATGAGGGGAAAAGCCAGACTGCAACGCTATGCTCCAGCTTCATTCCTCATCCATCTTGCTGCCTGTCTTCCCCTCCACCTCACTCTCCTCTCAGTATTTCCTGCCCTGTGCTGTGTCTTGCAGCTGTCACACCAGAGACTGATGAGCAGTTTCTTTCTGTTCTGGTGATCCTGATGGCAAGAGACGAGTTTCTGTCTTGGGGACAGAATGATAAGAATCTGCATATTTCAAAAATATCTTTGGACAAACACTAATCCAATTCTCCCCCTCCTCAAAGCATAAGAAAGCATTTTGGCTCCCTTCTGTGTTAATCCTTATGTGAAAAGATCTTTAACAGCAGTTCTGAGCTCCTCCTCTTAAATTTCCAATGACAGTCAAGACTGCCTAGGCAAAGTACACCCAAAGAGGCTCTTGTGTGCAAGAACTGGATGAAGCTCTGCACCCAAATGCTCAGTGCTTCTTGATAAGACCCTTTCACCCAAGATAGCACTGTCCACGTTTTACTCATAGGGAACTTGGCTCACAGTAGGTAAGTAACGGTCCTGAGGTTGCCCAGCTCAGGACTATGTCCTCACTGGAGCAAGAAATCCTATCTTCTTCCATTCTTCCTCTCCCCGACCCATGCACATCTCATTCCAACTTGCAGAAAAAGAAAACCTTGCAAACATTTCCCCGTCAGAAGCCCAATTCATTTTCTCGGGTGCTGGGGCTTACGAGGAACTGAATGCCTATGATTTTGTCTGCCACTTAACTGAGCTTAGCTGGAAGCAATCTGCTTAAAGTTTAAGCATCAACTTATCACTTTGTTAACTGTGCATTCATTTTCAAGGGGATGGTTAACTTTAATGGCAACGGGGAATTGAATCATGTGGCAACAGGTTCCGTGACATGTGGGAGCCAGAAGGGAAGTGAGAGGCCTTCCCAGTCAGATGTCGTGTGGAGAGGGAGCTGGTGTAAAAATTTGGATTAATTGTCGGCCTGCAGTCTCCTGCAGGGGACAGCATCCTACTCTGTCACTCTATGATTGACACCAAGAATCCACTCTGCTCACAGGCAGGATGGTGCCTGAAAGGAACAGAAGAGGGAAGGAGGCAGTCAGAATCCTCCACGGCCACCAGAGTCAGGGAACGCACTGGTGCTCTGCATTTGCTGTTGGGAAATCCCATTACCCACCTTATCGAAAGGGAAACTGGAGCTCATCAGGAAAGCAGCTGGTCCTAGGGCCCATTGCAAGTCAGAGCTGGATTAGATACAGCTCTGGTTCCCACAGAACGCCTTCCAAGGGTCTCTTGACTTAGGGTGGCAGCAAAGTACAGCTGGCTTATCACCATTACTCAAAAGCCAGTTCACGTTCAGCACAAACACCCTCTGATTCCATGGGTGTGGCTTCACAGTCTCTCGAGAAAAAGCAAAATTTTCCCTGGAGAAGATAGACAGGCTCATATCTTCTCAAATCCCCATGACTGTGTCTCCTAGTCACCTTTTAGCACTCTAGGATGCAGCCTCCTTGTTGTTATATGTCCTTACTCGGGAGGGAGAACCTAGCAGTTTTAATTTACTTGATGTGTGAACCAGACAGAAAAGAAAGGGAGTTCTGAAGAGTACTATAAACACAGGAAGTCAGCCTGCCTGAGAGTCCAGAAGCTTCAGTTTCCACGCTTATAGCTATTTAGACGGCCTTGCTTGGTGTATCGGAGGTGCCACCTCTGGCTCCTTTCCAGCCAGCCAACCCGCTCTTCTGGAGTATCCACCCTAAGTGAGGCAAGTGACTGTGTCTGTTTGTTTGTTTCCATCATTTTGTGGACAGATCTCCTAAACCAGTGGTTCTTAACCAGGAATGATATTATTGCCTAGCAAATATTCAGCTGTGTCTGAAGACACTTTTGTTTTTCACAGCTGGGGTGGTAGAAACTTTGGGTTCTAGTACAGGGAAACCAGGGGTGCTGTTAACAGCCTGTGGCAGGCAGACCATCCTCACAGGACAGAATAATTTGTCTCTAAATGTCAGTATAACTGAAGCCGGAAACCCTCGTCCAGACATGGGAGTCTCAGCGGACCTCCCCTGGGCTCTCTGCGCAGTGGTGGTCACATGATAGATTTTATGGTGGGGTGGAGGCAAAGCTGGAGGTCATGACTGGCTCTGCTCATGGGCTGGGGTCGAGCTCTGTGTCCTTCTCCTTCCACAGACTGGCCCGTGCTCCTCACATGGCAATGATCCCAGAGTTCCCAAGAGCAGCAAGACAGGGAAAGTGCCAGCACTGAAGCAGATACTTGAAAAATGCGTGTGTCAGGCTTGCAAGCTCTCTGTGCTATCTTGGCACATGACAGGTCCTCAGGACCATTCACTCCCTGATTCTCATTCAAATAGCGTGGTGCTCACTTTCCTCCACCCTATTGATTTTTCTTTCAAAACCACAGTCCCCTCTGTAAATGAGTCTACCCCTTATTGGAACCCTGGGAGTCGCTTCTGGGGTTTAAGCCATTGCTTGGCTCCACCTGTGTGATTAATATTGGAGCCCAGAGCAGAGTCACAGCCCCACGCTGGCTGTTTGGGGTATCGCCGGATAAGCCAATTCCTAAGAGGAATGTCACCCACTGGGGCAGCAGCCCCCTCCTGAGATAACTGTGCTTTTCAGCTAAAGAAGGCCTGGGGCTTCTGATCTCCTCCTGGGGCCCTCGCCCGAGTCAGGCGCAGCGATGGCTCCTGCTGGAGCCCCACGCCTCACCTGGTTAATGGTGCTCTTTGCACAGGAAGCAGGCCAGGCCACCAGGGCGCCTTGGCCCGCCTAACCCTTTCACTCTCGGTTCTTGGGGCTGTGCCCTACTTCTTTCTCTGCCACACTACCCTTCCCAGGTGACCAGGCCAGCGTTGCAGGTCCAGGCAGAGGGGAACACTTACTGTGTGTTAGGTGGTTAACAAGCACAGTCTGTTAATGCTCCCTGATTGATTTCTGGATGTTTTTTCCTTCTGGACTGCTGGAACTCCACTGCAAAGGCTGGCGTGAGGAGACAAATTGTTTACTTAGTTCTTATCCCTTGGGCCACTAGAAAAAAGCCTAGGAATTTCTAAAACGAGCATCCAGGTAGGACATGCCAAGCCAGCTCTCTCTCCCCTCCAATCTCATTCTCTGGAAGAGGAAGCAGCCTGGCCTTGGGCCTGAGCCACCGAGCTGGAAGTCTGTTTCTTCCCGGAACTGGTTCGGTTTCTCACTGCCAGGGTTCTGTGACCTTGAGCCCTGTATGGAAACCCGCAGCGTCTGTTTTCTCCCTTGTAAATAAGGGTAATAGTCTCTCAGAGGATTGTGAGGCTCCTGAAATGCTCTGTGGAATTTTCTGAGTAAATAGGCTCATTTGGTAACACTGACACAATGGAATTAGACCTTTTCCACGATTAGCAATTCTGCCAATGTCGGGAGCAACATGGCTCCTCTGTCTTCCTCCACACCAGAGTTAGGATGCCAAATACGCTAGGTCTCACAGGAAAACAGGAATTGCATCATTTTCCCTTGAAGATGAAGGTTAAAGAAACTAATCTTGGTTCACTCCAAGAAATAAAAAGCTTCATTAGCACTGGAAATTTTTAAGTTGAAAAAGAATACTTTTTAACACACAGGTCTTAAAAATCAAGATAATACATTCATAATAACACATCTCCTATATGATCGTGTACAGTTTTCAAAGTGCGTTCTCTGCAGGCATCTAAGAGTAGAATTGGTAGTGTTTCATTCGCTCAAAAAGATCTTTACTGAACCTCCACAGTGTGTGAGTCACAGTTCAGGCCCTGAGGATAAAGCAAAGAAGAAGGCAAAAAGTCCCAGCTTTGTGGAACTTACATAGCTCAAGGAGACAGATCAAGAAGAATTTAAAAATATAAAAATGGAACAGAATGTCAGGTGGCATGAAGAAAATAAGTGCGGGTAAGAGCACAGGCACTGTGCTATGGAAGGTGAGTGTGGGGCTCCATTTTAGCAAGGAGGAAGAGGGAGGGGGCTTCTGACTCTGATGTTCGACCGGAGACTTTAAGAAAAGAAGAGAGAAACACATCTGGACTTCTGGGAAGAGTGTTATGACATGAAAGTAAGTGCAAAGCTCCCGGGGCGAAAATATGCTTGGTATGTTTGAAGAACAACAAAATCATTCTAATCCCTCCTGTTCCGATTAAATGCTTTCTCAAGATCCTAACCAGAATTTTCTGTCTCCCTGAAAGCAATTCAGTCCCTCAGTTACTATGTATTTGCTCTTTGCAGGTAATAGAGAACAGCAACCTAAGCTGTGGTTATGTGGAATCACATTTCTGGTCAAAGCTGGCTGAAGTCAGCCCAGCTGTCATTTCGAGGCAGGGCTCTGAACTCAAAAGTGAGTTTGGGATCTTTGATTCTAGTGAGACCTCCTGAGGCTTGGCATCTCGTTTGTCTTCACAGTTAAGTAACAGTGGCGGTTCCTGTAAATGCGACGGGTGAAAGGAAGGAGCCACAGAAGACTAGCCCATCAGGCTGCAGGACTCCGAGAAGTCACCCACGGAGAACTGAGAGCACCGGAAGGCAGGAACGTGGAGAGGCTTTGCTGATGCAAGAAAGCACCGGTCCTGGCTGCACAGGAACTGCTTTCCTGGGCAAGGAACTGCTTTCCTGAGCAAGCCCGAGCCAAGCCAGGCAAGGGAAGGCCACTGCGCCGCGCATCTCCCCAGCAGCTGGGACAGAGTCCCCAGGCACCCAGCCCAGCTCCCCACAGCAGACGTCCAGGAAGCACCCCTCCTGCTTTCCTGAGTCTCACTTCAGTGCATCTTGGCACCAGGAGAACAACAGGGTTGGTACCCCTGACTGTTTCTATCTTAAACTAGTTAGTCAAGGACTGGCTAGAAAGCGGGGAGGGAGAGAGAGAAAGTGAGAAAGACAGAGAGTAACTGACTTGTGAGCTGGCTCTGCTGAACTGCTCTTGGTCTGAACTCAGGCCTTTCCTCCACTCCCAGCCAATCACCCCAATAACCTATTTCCGCATAGGAAGATTGAAAAGCAGACCAATTTATATTTTTCTGTTTTTTGGAATTGGCCCATTGTCAAATTTCTGGCAATGACAAGCTGTGTGCGTGCACCATTCACCTGCTTCTCCCTGGGCCACATGCCTCTCTTCCAGCCCTCCTCTACCCTTCAGACCTGTCCTCCCTTCTGCCCACTTCTGTCTGTGTAGAGGTCAGGGAGAAGCTACACACACAATTGACAGAGACTGGATTCCCACAGCCACACTTAAAAAAGCTCTCAGTGTCCCTGCTGCCACTCAGGAAATGTGGAAGAAGCAGACAGATGTTGGGGGTGGGGCAAGTCCTGCAGTGACTTGGACAGAGGCTGGTGTCCAGTAGGCGTTGCCCTTCCGCCAGCTCCTTCCCAAGGCTCTCTTTCTCCGCTTTCTCCTTGTGTTTTCAAGGCCACGAAAGACACACACTCCTTAGCCCTGGGTGCTCATTGCCTCAGCTTCCCTGGTGGCGGCTTCCAGAAAGCTTGCCTCCAGGAAGGGGACTGATAGGGCCAACGAAGTGGGGCCAGGCATCCGTAAAAGGCCTCCAGCCAAAAGGCTGGTTCCTTCCTGCAGCTGTCTCCGGGACTCCAAATCTCTCCCAGAGGAGGCGCCTCACTTATTAACATCATAACTCACGCAAGTTGCTTGGAGTCACCGTGCATGGAAGATCGCATTCTGCAAAGTGTTGAAGCTGCAAAGTCACCAGCCCAGTCGATAGACTTTTATTTTAACGATGTTTGTGATCAATATTTAAACAGGATTGACCCAGCCCGCTGCTAGTGCACCTCTCTCCTCCCAGCTGCCTGGGAGAGATAAAACATTTACTTGAGGGTGGGGGTTACAGTGTTCCAGGCCAAGGCGGTGCTTGAGGATAGATGGGGTGAAGGTGCCATAGGAAGCATTAGATCCAGTGCTAATGGGCCCTGGAGTCTCAGGGCCAAAGGGGCTGTGGCTTAGAGATTCTGGGCAGATTATGAGAGAATAAGGAAAGAATTTATGGGAAGATCTGGCCACTAGTAAAATAAACTTTAGAGCTTAAAAGATTTTCTTGAAAATAGCAGTGGCCTATTTAATCTGCCTTTTATTGAAAGTTAGTAGCTAAGAGCTGGGCTCTGGTTCAGATGGCTAGAGTATACAGCTTGTCATATACTCTCTCTGAATCTCATTAAAATGATTCTTCCTGGAACTGTAAAGAATAAAGAGACACAATGCAAAACAGCTGAAATATTGACTCCATATAGTAAGTGCTCAATTAACATTATGAGATTATTGGTAAAGCAAGGACACAAAATCCGATTCTCTTTGTTTCTAACACAGTAATTTCAAAGAGTTACATGAACTATGTACAAAGTTAGGTAATGTGTTGGGACAGAGTATGATTGATTACATGATTATCTAGTCCAGTCTCCCTGAAAGAAAACCTGAATAAAGAGAAAGCATAACTGGCTGAAAAATCTGGTAAAACTGTGTGGAGAATTTGAATTTAGGCCCAGAAAGGCCCAGAAAGACAGAGGAGATCTCTAAGAAAGTAGTGCATGAGGGGAAGTAGTATACGTAGAACCTCTACATAGACGTGACCTCTTGAAATGAGTACTTCTGCACTTCTGCACAAACTGAGTACCTCTGAAATGCACATTTCAGTACATAGTTTGGGGTTTGCAAGGGAAATGTAATCTAACGCAGGACACATAATTTATAGAATTAATTTATAATAGTCACCCAAAGAGTCATATACCAAAAAAAAAGTGCGGGAAATCTGTCCACACACTCAGACCAAAAGAATCCAGCTGAGGGCCTGGATCCCACAGCCTGGATCCTGCGTGAACCAGTGGAAAACCTAGAGCCCATAACAATGTCCCCACAAGTCCAACTGGAGACCAACAGCCCACAACAATGTCTCTTGCAGGCCTGTTTCAAGGATCTGTGCTAAAAAGGCCCAAAGGTCAGTGGTGGAAGCTAGAAAGTCTGTGCCAGTGGGATGAAGGATCTGTGCCAGCAGGTTGAGGGATCTGCACTGGAGCCAGAAAGCAATAGTCAAAGTAAAGAAAAGAGCTCCCCTGAAAACTATCACAGCCATTCTCAGCAACAGTGAGGCCCCAAGCTCTTCCGATGATGAGAACAGCCAAGTCTATATCAGGAAAGCCAACACAACAAGCTTCACCAGGAGGTTGAACAGTACACCATCCTCCCCTCCAGAACCAAGAAGTGATGCTCAAAGTAAGGACCAGAGCTCCCCCAAAGTGAACCATAGCCAGTCTCAGAGAGACAACAAAGTCCTGAGCTCCTTCAATGATGAGAACAGCCCCATTCATATCAGGACAGCCAGCGTGACAAGCTCCTCTAGGAGAACCAACAGCTCCCTACAGCTACCAAACTTCTTCCTTTCCAGTTCTGCCTTTTATGCTGTCAGAAACAGTCCTCAGATGGGCCTCCCACACCCAGCACCACACTGGCTCAGTTCAGCTGGGTGTTACAAGCTGACCACCGGTTGTTAATCTGCCACAATAGGTAAGATTAAACTCCCAATGCACAAGATACTTAAGAAAATGTGTTTTCTAAGAAGAGGAAGTTAGAACCCTGCTTTCAAAAGGAGTCTGTATTAAGGGAAGGACCGCAAAGGATAGCAAGGTCTCACAGGGTGACCAACTTATTCAGTTCACCTGGAACTTTCACATCTTAACACTAAAAGTCCTCACTACCAGAACCCTCAGTTCTGGGTGAATATGACAGTTGGTCCCTTTAGGATGAAGAGGAGCAGAGGGCTGGGCTTCTTAAAAGTCAGAGGGAGCAAACTGCAGACGAGACAATGACTGCTAACATCCAGTGCAGCAGAGATCAACCCTGAAAAAACCTATCAGCTTGGACCATTTGAAGGTCCCAGAGGACAGATTAAGGAATGCTGTGACTCCACAGTCAAAGGTCTAGACCTGACTGTATGCGCCACCATGTACCGCTTCCACAGAGGAGGGGCTAGGTGAAGGTC